TTTTCCAAAATTAGTTTGAGAAAATGGTTGTTGAATTAAGTTATCGTTCCTTAGAATATATTTATTTCTATCTCTTTGTAAATACAAGTTACGAAAAGAAACGGGTGATAGGTTGGTCTTGCATTTATACATAAAACAAAGAATATTAAAAACATTTAACTCATATATATTGAGTGCTTTCATATCATATAAAAGAGGCTTGGCGTGAGCAAAACGGTCCTTGAAATTTATAATAGTTATATACTTCTGTTGTTTTAAAATTCTTTTTTTACTGATAATAAATTTGTGTTTTACTGATAATTAATAAAATTACTTAAATTTTTTTTTGCTGTTGCATCTTTCTCCATGGTCTTCATGCATATTATTAAAAATGATGAGACAAATATGGTATTGGGCAATTTGTATAAAAAAACAAACAAACAAATGAACTCAGACGAAGACATCTAAGTTATATGTCATGACGATTTAACAAATAGAAAATTTGTTGTTTAATCTGATTGATTTGCAAAAATCTTAAGTATGTAAATGATATGACAGTAAGTTTTAGTTTTACTCCTCTGCAAATGGAACTTCCGCTACTTGACGAGACTAACATAAAAACCTATTAATAATTATATTATAGATATATAAATATAAAATGCATAAATTCAGGTAAATTTTCTCCTGATTTTGCAAATTTCAAATCTCATCTTATTGATGAAATTAATGCCATAATCCCAATACCTTTGGGATTATGACATTAATTTTTTTTGGATAGGAAGAAGGGTTGCTCCCAGGCCCTAATTGTTAAAAAATCTAACTGGTTTCAAAGCAACTTTGTTTGATTTTGATTCATATTTATGAATATAAAGATATTTGAAGTTTTTTACATATTTTTTAATTCTTGAAAATTTGTTTATTATTATTTTTATTACAAAGTTTAGTTTTATGGTTAGAAATTAACAAATTCAATTCTAAAAAAGTATTATTTTCCAATTTTTAATCATATATATTTAATTATAAATTATGCCACTGAAATTTACATCAAAAAATAAACAAAAAATTAACAAATTTAATTTTATATTAGAATCTGAGTAAGCTGTTATTTTTTTCATAAAGATTTTAATGATGTATCCTCATATATCATGATGCATCCTAATATATCATGATGTATCCTATATATAACAATGCATCCAAATTTATTATAGTGCATCCTAATATATTATGATGCATCCTTATATATAACAATGCATCCAAATTTATTATAGTGCATCCTAATATATTATGATGCATCCTAATATATCATGATGCATCCTTATATATAACAATGCATCCACATTTATTATGATGTATCCTAATATATTAAGATGCATCCTAATATATTATGATGCATCTTAATATATCATGATGCATCCTCATATATTATGATGCATCCTCATATATCATGATGCAGTCTATATAAAAAAAATAATCGGAAAATCATAATTTTTTCTTTTAAGAAGTCACAAAACTCAATTTCGTGTGATTATTTTTAAATTTTATTTTTCAAATATTAAATAATAGTCATATCTACTTTAATAAAGCTAAAAAAAAGTGAATTAAACTGGAATAAAAATTAAAGTTACCAATAATAAAAAAAAGAGCTGTAAAACCTTTGCAAACCTCAAAGTAATAAAGTACCCCCTCAGCAAGTAGCAGTAACAATTACAATTTGTTTTAATATAGGAAGATTGATGGTAGATTTTTAAAATTTTTTTATTTTTCTAATACCACATAATAATAGTACCACAAAATTTTTTACTATACATTGATGATATTGTAAAAAAATGGCCCTTAAATGCCCGCCAATAAAAAAATTATATATATTCAAAAGAATACTCTTAACATGAAAGTGGCAACAATATATTAAGGTTAAAAGTAAATCAAATGTATTACTCTTAACAATAATTAATTAATACACACTGATTATTTTATAATATAAAAATATATAATTCTGAATATATATTTTTAATTGGAGCTTAATTTGCCTTGTTGTCGTGAAACCACGTTTAATTTAGTGTTGATTTCATATTCATCTTCAACAAATGTTACAAACGGTATTTTATTTTTGGCGCTGTCCAATCAATGTATGCAGCGCTAAAGTGGAGTAGAAGAAGAAAGTATATTAGAAAAGAACCCCCACATTTTCCTGGTACATGTTTTAATCTCAAAAGAAAGTATATTAGAAAAGAACCCCCACACATTCCTTTTTAAGAACCCCCACACATTTTAAAATCTTTGATAAAAATGGAGCATCAATGACTGTAAACGTTGGCCAACGTTTCGAAGTTTTAAATCTTTGGTTTCAAGATTTTACAAAAAAAATTTTATAAGTTATTTCACTGAGTTCGAGAACAATCAAAAATGTAATAGAATGCTTTAGCCTCCCCAATCACAAGATCTCTCTTTTATTGGATTTTTTTGGGAAGTAATGTCAAAAATAAATGTGTAATGGTGCATAAGATGTGGAAAAAACTTATTAGTTTTTTCAACATCTTATGCATCGAAATCATCAAAAATTGGATAAGTTTTTAAGTAGAATGCCAAGAATATGTATGGCATTTATTGTCGCTAAGGATAATTAAAGTAAACTATAAACTAATCTAATGGGATTTTATATTAATTTTTTTGTAAACCTATTAAATAGGAAGATAACATATAATTCAGGTAGACTTTGTTTTCAATTCGTCTCTAAACAGCAAGTAAAACTCTGATATCTCAAATCAAAAAGTATGACCATTCGAATAATTATGGACGGTAGTGTATATATTAGGTCTACATAAGAGTTCTGTCCATTTCTATAATAACAATTTTGGATGTGTTAGCAAATGTGTATTTATTGCATGTTTGACTCATTATTTTTATCTTTTAAAGTATTCATACAAATGTTGCAAATTAACTCAAACAAAGTTATTTTACATTTGTCTTCATTATAAAGTGATAGTGTAAACATGGCTACTGATAAAGTTCATTTACATTACTGTATTTTATACAAATTTCAACAAGGAAGAAATACTACAGAAGCATGTAGAAATTATTAAAAGTGTTTGATAAAGGTATTTTTTCTGATAGGACATGTAGAATATGGTTCCAAAAATTTCAAACAGGTGATTTTAACCTTTCTGATCAGTTACATTCTGGGCGTCCATCATTGATTGATGACGATAATATTAAAAACATGTTGGAACAAGATCCTTTTCTAACAGCATCCGAGATTGCAGAAACAGCTCAGCAAACTATTTCGGACCATATTCAAGAGATAGGATTAGTATAGAAATATTCAAGATGGGTGCCACATGAATTAAATCAGAAGAATTTGTATGATTGAATTGTCATATGCATATCTCTACTTGCTTGAAACAGAACCAAGCCATTCCTGAACAGGCTAATAAGCGAGAATGAGAAATGGATTACTTAAAAAAACATTGTAAGAAAAAGGGCATATTATGAACCCAGAAAACCTAGCCAGGGCTCAAATTAAGTGATCGCGAATTGCAATATCCAGAAATATCTGTGATCATTAAATTCTTAGTTTTTTTAAAAACAGTAAACACTGTTTTAATGAAATGGTCAGTTTATCATATTGCAAAAATTAATGAAAAAGCAAAACAATTAATTTACTACTGCAAAAAAAATAATTTACATATTATTAGTTATTGTTTTTTTAAACAATAATTAATATGTAATTTAAGGATTATAAATACAAAAAAGTTGCAAGACAAAAAATTATTATTACTAAAGGTACAAAAAACTTTCACAGTAATTTAAAATCAACCAATTAAAAACTATGCTTAAGCTATTTCCGCATTGTATAAAACTTTGTAGAAAAAAACAACCAATTAAAAAGTATGCTAAAGCTACTTGCGCGTTATATGAAACATTAAAATAGGTTTTTATTTAGGGGGAAAGTTTATGGCATTATTTATTTAAAAATTTAAATGTTTTAAATTAGAATTCAATTATTTAATAAGAAAAAAAATTGTAAGTTATATTTTTTTAAAATATGTTATTTAAGTTTCTTTTTTTGTTTTGTTTTAAAGTAACTATTAAAAAGTTTAAATTAGTTTTTTTATATTAACTTCTCCGTCTTTTAATTTTATATTCATATTAGCTTAAGTGTTGCAAACGTTAAATTTATAAGAAAATACTGAATGAGATTTAAATAACATATAAAAGTATTTAAAATCTTAATTAACAATTTCTTTTATTTAAAATATTCGATCACTGTTAAAGTCCTTTAGATTGTTGTGATTAGCGCTTGTTTTTTAATATTTATATCGTACTTTATCGTGTTTTATTTTTCTAGTTTTATCTGATGTTTTATAAAATAAATTAAAATATTAAAGTTTAAATTATAATCTTTAATAATAATAAAAATAATAGTGATAATATGGTTTTACATTAGGATTTTATATCATAATCGACGTAAATATTTTTTATTAAACGATATCTAGAGTTTAGTGATCAAAACAGTTTTACGGTTTTTAAAAAGCTAAAATTTAAAGACTGGAAGCATTTCCAGATATCGCAATTCGCGATCACTTATTTCGAGCCCTGCTAGCTCTTTCACATCTAAACCACATTTGATTCTGAATAAGAGAATGTTGTTTATATGGTGAGATATTCAAGAACCAATACATTATGAGCTTTTACAACCAAACAAAAAGCCTAATTTGAAGAAGTATTGTCAGCAACTGGATAATTTAAAGACAAAAATTCAAGAAAAAGGGCAGATGCTCAGTATGAAGGGCATCATACTGCATCATGGTTATGCCAGGCCGCATGCTGGTTTGGGGACTCATCAAAAAAAAGCAGAGTTAGGCTGGAAAATTATATTGCATACACCATATTCCCTGGACTTTGCGCCCTCTGACTATCACTTGTTTTTATCTTTACAAAATATTGTTTAAAAATTAGTTGTTTTATATAATAAACTGATTTGAATAGGTTTATTCTTATTTAAAATTTTTTTTCTACTTTAGAATATGCAAAACATGGATCACTTCATGACTATTTGGTGAATCATGAGCTTGACTTTCTTCAAATTTTGACTTGGTCAGAACAAATAGCTTTAGGTATTTTTTTTTTTTAATTTTTTTAAATTTTAAGTTTCTCAGTTAAATAATATTTATCTCAGTGGAAAATGGTTCATTAGTAGTCTGGTAGATTTATTTAGTTTTTAATTATTTTAGGAATCAGTTATTTACATAATGAAGCACCATTTACAATCATTCACAGAGATCTGAAGTCAAAAAATGGTAATAAATGAAAATTTATTAGTATAAACAATTATTATTTGAATTTTTTAAAACTCAAATTTTTACTATACTTTATTTAGTTGTCATTACTGGTGACATGGTTGTCAAGGTAAGAAAAACATTTAACCAGATTTGCTTATGCCAGTAACTTTACATGACATAAAAAAATAATTATAACAATAATAGCCATATAAATAATTTAATGAGATGATATTAAATTATGTTAATTTTTTAAAAGCTTTGTGATTTTGGTTCTTCTCGCTATTTGGATCAAACAACTAAAATGTCATTAGCTGGTACTTTTCCATGGATGGCGCCTGAGGTAATATTATGTAATTGAAAATCTTTAAGAAAAATTGTAAAAAAAATGTGTATAGTAAAGATTCAAATTTGCTTAAAATAATGTTGCTAATTTGGTTTTGCAGGTAAACAGAAAATTATAATATGTTATCTCACTTCATTATAATATACAACCCAAGTTCATTATACTATAATAAGAGTTATTCCATATCAAATCACCTAAAGGCTCCCAGGGTACCACCTCAGATTTGCTTTAAATTTTGACTACACACAGATCTTATCAAAAAATTACAATCCAGAAAATTTCAGCCTGATTGACCAATATTTTCAAAAGTTATGATTGAATTAAAAATGACCAAAATCCAAAAAATTTCTGTATCAGGAGCTTACAGCAGGTTTTTTCGATTTTTAACAAACTATAACTTTTTAAATAAAGATGGTGATCACCTGAAATTTTGTAGGGTAATAGTTTTTCACCCAAGTAATCCATTGTTGCAGCTGTTTTTGACTGATTTTTTACAGTTTTTGAGTTATTGTACCTTAATGTTGCTAAATATTGCAAAATAAATATTTTTTCGAACTTTAACGTGTTACAGTTTAATACTTACTTACAGAAAGTGGATTTTTTTGTTACCTTTGTGTACATAGGGTCACCACTTGTTAAAATAATCAAAATTATGCATTAAAAATTAATTTAGCACATGCAGCAGCCTATCAAAAAATCACTTTTTTAAAAAATTATGATAAATTACATTGACTTTGCTGGCATAGAAAATAGCGTAAACAGTTGAAATAAATTATGAAACTTTTTAATGTTGAGCTTCTATATATAGACAATTACCAAAAAAAATTTATAGACCTATACTCTATCTTATGACATGGTTGTAGCCTTTTGAGAGCCATGATATTTTCAAAAGGAGAATGTTACCAGACTATGAGCTAGCCTTATGTCATATAGTTAGTCATAGGGATGACAGTAGTATATTTTTTATTTATCTCTGAATGAATATATTCAGTTTTCTTTTTAATGACATAATGTCTTAATTTGTACTAATAATAATGACATCAGTTTCATAATCAGCGTCTGATGTTTGTTAGTTTATTTGAGATTTAATATGTTTATGTCTTTTTTAAACTTTTTAGATTAGTAATAAAAATAAAAAAGTAGTATAAAATGACAGAGAAATGTTGTGTGAGGAAAGTTTTAAATGAAGATTGCGACAAAACATATTTTTGTAGAATGATTGGAAGAATAAAACTAAAAGATATTGTGAGCACAGATGTTGAAGTTTTAATTCAAAGAATTAGACACACTTTTGAACTAAATGAGGAGATATGTTTTCACCATGAAAAAACCTATATTTCTAGATATGAAGCGCTTCAAAAATACTCCTGTGATCCGTTTAAAGTCCACAAGAAAAAAATTATTAAGGGATTGTGTAAAGTTGATATTTTAACAGCAAGTCAACTTAATATCAAACCTGGTCAAAAACTTTGTACTAACTGTTTGAATGAATTCAAACTTGAACAGATTGCAGGAAAGTTTAGTGAAGAAGATGAAGACAAAGATGTTGAGTTTAGTTCTTCAGACCTAAATAAGACAGTTTTAAATAAGAGTGCTTCTCTACTGGAAATATCTCCTCTAAAAAATGTAAGTAAATGTGACAAATTAGAATATGGAAAGCAAAAAGTTAAAAAACTGGAAACAAGTATGACAAACCTAGTAGCATCAGCATTGGATATAGACCCAAAATAAATAATATCTGAGAAAAAGCAAAAGTGCATTAACTGTAATGATTTAGACAAACTTTTAGGTGCAATAAAGGAAAAAAGAAAAATCAGTTTGAATGAAGAAAAAGTTCAGTTAATAACATTAACTACTAATAGTTGGTCAATTAAAAAAACTTGCACTGCATTTTCAGTTTCAGACCATTTTGTTAAGAAAGCCAGAAAGCTGAAAAATGAAAAGGGAATACTTGCTAAACCTGAGACTAAAAAAGGACACCCTTTGGAGGATATTGTTAAGCAGCGAGTCATTGAAATATATGAATCTGACAGATACACAAAACAATGTCCAAGAAAAAAGACTTTGTTTCTGTGCGTATAAATAATGTTAAAGTTCATAAACAAAAACGCCTAATATTAGTTCATTTTGTAGTTTCACATCAAAATCGACTTTGTAAGTTTAGCGTTAAACGTCTCATATTTTCTAATGCAATTCAACATAATTTATATACAATCATATTCTCTTGATATTTACAACAATGACTTTATATTATATACAACTATTTAAAATTAACACAAATCAATTGTTAACAATCATAAAATATAATTACACTTTACATTGATCATTAGCAATCATAAAATGTAATTACACTTTACACTTCCCTTTGGTCACAATGATTATCTCGTCTCAAGGACTAAATCGTTCAGGGGCCCTCCTTTCTCGTATGCTTCTACGTAACACTGACATCTTGCTTGTTTTTTCTCCAGGCAGCACAATGTATAATTCATCTTCAATGTATAGTTCCTCACTAATATCATTATCACCTCTTCCTTGTCCAAGATCTTCATTCAAATTTTGTGAACTCTTACTTGTCTTAGGTCTCGTACATGTTGACACATTTTGTCCACTTCTACCGTTTGCTCTGAGGTTATTCTTGTAGTTATTCCAATCTTATATTGAGAGTCGCATTGGCTATCTGGGGGTTTAACCCATACTTTATCGCCAAGTTTATATTTATTGGTTATCTTCTTACGAGAATCATGTGCATTCTTGTTGTTATCAATTCCTCTCACTCTAATTTCGTATTGATATAACTTATTTGCAGGTGCAGTAGAAGACTTACAACTATCTTTTGGACTAACTTTATACCAATAAACTGCCTCCAGTATACTGCACGGAACTCTCTTTGCAGTTCTTTTGACAGTTTGGTGACATCGTTCTGCAATTCCATTTCCCGAAGGTACATAAGCGCACCTGAATTGAAGTTTAACCTTCCATTTATTCACAAACTGAGAAAACAATGTGCTTCGAAATACAGTATCATTGTCCGTCAGTATTTCATCTGGACTTCCTTGTTCGAGAAATATGGCGTTTAGTTCTTGAATAACACATGCATTGGTTTGATCTTTAAGATATTGCCATATTACATATCGTGTAGGTCCACAGTCGATTAAAGTAAGATAGTGCTGCCCCTCATAATGAGTTATGTCCATGCCAAGTTGTTGCCACGTTGTTTTTACTTCTATTTTCCCTTTCAGCCATTTCATTGGACATGGATTGATTGATTGACAGGCTATGCATTTCTCAACCACTTGTTTTACGTCTTCCTTGCTCACTGACGGGTCGATTTTACGAGCGAAGTATAATGTTTTCTTCACGCTATAATGTCCTGTAGATCTATGAACCTGCTCGATGTCTTTGGGAGATAGCGAAATACTACTAATGCCACTTGTTGCCATAGGGTTTATCAACCAATTTTATCGGCCAAGTTAAACTCCGAAGCGATAAGTTTAATATCTACTTTGAGTTGATATTCTTCCACTATATTCGCAATGTTATGAAGTCTTCTTCTTATCAGCATTTTGTTTGAAGCTTTTGTTCTCAATCTAGATTTTCCTGTGAGTGCGTTGGTAACCCAGCGGAACACCGCTTTCAAATCAGTGCAGATGTGTAGAATTTCCATTTTCCAATTAAGGCCCATATTTAGTCCTTTAATTACTGCAGCAAGTTCAGACATGTTTATATGTATTGTGTTGTCTTTTCTTAACCAACAAGCGTCTTCGATTATATTACCATCAACCTCGACAACCACGCTTAGTGCTATTGAATTAGCATCTACCCAACTTGTTGCCTCGTTACTGTAAACACTCCAAATTTTTTTAGCAGGATTGTCGTTTCGTGTTCTTTGTATCATATCATTCAGCATTTTCTTCAAATAGTTGCATTTTATTTTTTTATTCCACGTTTTTGTCAAGGCATTTGCTGTTCTTTTAACATATGACGAGGCTACACTCAACCAACCACAAACTGGAAGGTTTCTCGTCATTTTTCCGCACAAAAAAAAGATATTACTTCTTGTTATTGATTTCGGAGTTTCACCAAAATCATTATCTCTTCTCCAATACAACTTTTTATTTTCCATTCCGACTTGTAAACCAAGAACTCTTGCTCCATCGGATATGCGGACCACTGGCTTGCAATGAAGCCCATAGGTTTCCAAATGATCAAGTACGCGACAAACAGATATTATGTCCTCATTCACAAAAATATCATCAATGTACGATGACGTTCCTTTCCAGATTGTTTCGTCTTGCGATAGCACTTTGTCCAACACCGCTTTCATTATGACTGGCACAAGGTTTAGTTCGAATCCCAAACGTGTTAAAAATCTTTTTTCACGGAACACAACAGTTTGGTAAGCCTAAAGTTTCTCATCAATTTTTAGTTGGATGTACGCTGAAGATAAATCAATTATTGAAACATTTTCTCCAAACCGTCTCCAGTCTTGAAGTTTGTCAGCACACGCATTTGTGTTCGGAGTGAATGCTTCAATAAACCTGTTTAGCTCCCTGAAGTCCAATACTGGTTGTACTTTTCCATTATTTTGCTGCGCAACTGCCATGAGAGGAACCAAACCTTTTATTGGATCGTGTTTCTTCAAATCGTACTTTTGCAGCCATTTTTTCTCTATCCATCCTTCAATTTCATTTTCGTAATTGTGTTTTATGCCAACAGGGATAGTGTATTCAGCAATCTTGTTCACTAAAGTTTCAGGTTGAGAATTATTATTCCATTTCCACGTAATTATCCATTCTTGATTTTCTTTTTCAAACGAAGCTGTGAAATCTCGAGCTGTTATATTCAAATTACTGACATCTTTTGGCATATCACTTCTTAGTCCAAGTAAACATAATTCGAGTTGTAGATATTGATACTCCACCAAAAGCCACTATTCCATCCATATCCATCAAAAAACAATAACCAAGTGGTTTGAAGTCAACTACAAGTGCTTCCACAAAAACTTCATTCCCATTTGGCGTGACGATTTAAGTTTGGCTAACGCCTTCGCACTGTTGTTGTTGTCCATTTACAGTTACCATGCTAACTACTTTCTTCGTAACTTTTGGCGCATATTTTTTATAAATGATATAGCAGGTACATCCAGAGTCAATCAACATATTACGAAGAACCCCGTTAATGTCCAAGCGTATAGTAAGTTTGGGGAGAGAGCTGGTGCAAACATCTTCTCCCTCGTCACGTTTTTTGGACACATTCTTGATATGTGTCCTTTCTCTTGACACGAGTAACACAAAACATCGCTTGTCTCCTATCTCCTACCCAACTTGCTTCGATTTCAATGTGTTCGTAGATGACAATCTCTTGCAAAATGATTCGGGAGTTTACATTCATATAAAACTGGAGAGAAACAATGCTCGCCAGATTGGTTACACCAATTACTTTGCATACTAGTTCCACTTTTTCCAGCCATTCTGCAACTGATTGTTGATCGTTTCCACTAAACTCCGGAATTAACTTTAAATCAATTTTAGTTGACATTTTTGCCGAAATAGCTTGTAGTTTCATATCAAAATCGACTTTATAAAATTAGCGTTAAACGCCTCATATTTTTCAATGCAATTTAACATAGTTTATATACAATCATATTCTCTTGGTATTTGCAACTATGACTTTATATTAAATACAACTATTTACAATTAACGCAAATTGATCATTAACAATCATAAAATATAATTACATTTTACATTGATTGTTAAAAATCATAAAATATAATTACACTTTACACATTTAAAAGAACTTCATTTGGAATTTAAGAAGTTATACCCTGAACACAAAGTTGGATTCAGCAAGTTCTGTGAACTAAGGCCAAAGTGGTGCCTTACTGTTGATAGTAGTGGAAGCCACTCAGTTTGTGTATGTTCTTACCATAAAAATGCTAAGTTGATGTGCTCTGCTCTTCCTAACAGCCATTTAATATATTACAAAGATTTAATGAAAGTATGTGTTTGTAATATAGACGAAACTGCATGTTTCATCTATGTTCCAACTGCCCTGGAACATAGATGAAACATGCAGACTTACAGTTTGGAACTTATTACAATAAGTTCCAATTCTGTAATAAGTTTATTCTGTAACTTATTACAGAATGGACTTATTACAGTCCAAACTGTAATAAGTCCAAAATGAACTTATTACAGTTTGGACTGTAATAAGTCCATTCACTAATGCTTTTTTGGACTTATTACAGTCCAAACAAGCATTAGTGAATTTATTGAAAATTTAAGTGAAACTTTGTATGACCTTTGTCACCACTACTTTATCAAAGAAGCACAGTCTTTCTACTTATCAGAGGCAAAACAAACATTAGACCAATATATCTGCATTATTCTGATGGATTTTGCAGAGAACTATAGTTTTCTTGTACAAGATGCTATACAAGGGTTTTACTGGCAAGCCGATCAAGCTACCTTACACCCATTTGCTGTTTATTACAAAGATGAAAAAGATCACCTTAAATGTGAATGCAATTGTTTAATTTCTGACCATATTTGTCATGACCAATCAGCAGTCCATTGTTTTCTCACAAAGTTGCTCCCAATGGTCAAAATCAAACTACCCCCAGTAAATAAAGTTAAATACTTCAGTGATGGTGCTGCTTCACAGTATAAAAGCTACAAATGTCTAATAAACTTAATTTATCACATTGTAGATCACAAAATAAATGCTGAGCATCACTTCTTTGCTATGTCACATGGCAAAAGTGCATGTGATGGAATAGGAAGTACTATAAAAAGAGAGGCAGCAAAAGCTAGTCTACAAGCAGCAATTACAAATCAGATTCTCACACCACAAGATCTGTTTACATGAGCTCAAAAAAAGATCAAAGGTGTTAACATATTTTATCTTTCAAGTGATATATCAATAATCATAAAACAACTTTTGACCTTCAGAAACGATATGAAGGGATGCGCACAGTTCCGGGAACAAGAAGGTATCACTGTTTTGTACCAGATGGAGAGAAATTGTTTTTATGAAGAGTCTCTAGTGGTAGTGTCTATGATACTCATGTGTTAAATGATGTTAATTTGATTAAAAAAAATCCTTTACATTTTCAACCCGGTAAATATATTGCATGCTTTAAATTTTGTGTGTGGTAAGTGGTATTTTTTTGTTCTCTTTTTAAAAATATCATCACTCTCAAAAGGCTACAATCATGTCATAAGATAGAGTATAGGTCTATATATTTTTTTTGGTGATTGTCTATATATAGAAGCTCAACATTAAAAAGTTTCATAATTTATTTCAACTGTTTACCCTATTTTCTATTCCAGCAAATTCATTGTAATTTATCATAATTTTTAAAAAAAGTGATTTTGCGATAGGCTGCTGCATGTGCTAAACTAATTTTTAATGAATAATTTTGATTATTTTAACAAGTGGTGTCCCTATGTACACAAAGGTAACAAAAAAATCCACTTTCTGTAAGTAAGTATTAAACTGTAACACGTTAAAGTTCGAAATAATATTTATTTTGCAATATTTAGCAACTTTAAGGTACAATAACTCAAAAACTGTAAAAAAATCAAACAAAAACAGCTGCAACAATGGATTATTTGGGTAAAAAACTATTGTCCTACAAAATTCCAAGTGATCACCATCTTTATTTAAAAAGTTATGTTTTGTCAAAAATCAAAAAAAACTGCTGTAAGCTCCTGATACAGAAATTTTTTGGATTTTGGTCATTTTTAATTCAATCATAACTTTTGAAAATATTGGTCATTCAAGCTGAAATTTTCTAGATTGTATTTTTTTGATAAGATCTGTGTGTGGTCAAAGTTTAAAGCAATTCTGAGATGGTACCCTGGCAAACTTTAAAAAGCTAGGTGATTTGATACGGTATTTCATTATGGTATACAACCCCACTTCACTATACTATAATATGTAACCTCACTTCATTATAGTATAATGTAGTATAACCCACCTTACTATTTATATATCTTATCTTAATTTTATTTTATAGGTTATTCAATCAATGCCAATATCTGAAGCTTGTGACACCTATTCTTATGGGATTGTATGTTAAGATTTTTTTCTTTTTCCTGTCATGGTTATTTTTAGAGTCTAGTAATATTTTAAATTTTCACAAATGAAAACATTTTTTGATTATTATAAAAGATTTAGTTATCTAAACCTAAATACAAATATAAGTAGAAAATTTCAGTAATCACAAATCAGGGATGCGAAGTTCCATCGATTTTTTGGGACTCCGGACTCCGAGCTCAAAAATCTGGACTTCGAAATAATATATTTTTTTAATATGGGGTTTATATTATCTAGAACTTTTACGCGAAAATGCCGGAAAAATGAGAGGATACCAAAAATATTTTTTCTTATGAGTTTTATATATGTTTATTTTATGTACCCTAAGAAGTTTTTACGGTCTTATAAGAGAGCACCTTGGAAAAGCAGAAAATTCACTCCTACTTTCTAACCGATGTCGCAAAACCAAAGGTGGGTTTGACCCACGATCCCTTATTTTTTAAGGAAAGTGCGCTACCACTGTGCCGTGGCTGCTTAAACCCAAAAGTTAATTTGTCCCACTTATGCTGGGTTGTAAGAATTTATAAGAACAATAACTCCAAAGATTTTTATTTGATTTGTATTGTCTAACGCACAGATTTCTCAGATGTGGCACTCAATTTCTCAAATTATTTGAATCCATATGATCATAAAATTAAAAAATAAAAAGATTTAAATATAATAATAATAAAAAGATTTAAGTGTTTATTTACATTAATTACGTGCTAATTTATAAAGTTACAAAGATAAAATATTACAATATCTACATCATCAAAAAATGTTCAAATAAAAAACTTGTTCATAAAAAAAAACATATCATCAATTAACTCAGATGTAAATCGACTATGATGGTCTGGTGCCAGACCATCACGTGCTTTAAGACCATCATGTGCTTTAAGACTGAAAACAGACGCTCGACACTGACTTGGGATATGGGTAGCGACAAAGCCACATGGCAGACATCTCGTACAACTTAAAGAACTGCTCAATTGATTTTAATGGGTTTAAAGTTTTAAAAACTCGTTTAAGTCGGATGATTTGTCTTTAAACATTTAACAGACTTCCGGAATTGTTTTTAAAGCTAGTCGAAACTCCTTTTTGATTACATTTAGTTGAACCTGCATTTGTTATTCTGAAGAATTTTCTTGAACCTCTTGTTCACACAACTTAAATAAATTTGGTCGACGCTTTACGACTGGTGAAGCATTTTCCTCATTTTCTGAACTAGAGTCTGACACAAATTGCAAAAGAGTTGCATTCTACTGCTTTTTTTTTTATTGAGTTCATTATTCTTATTTTCATTAGTGAGTTGAATCAGTTTGTAATGTATTTTCCAAAGTCCATCAGCTGCAGTTATCTATAAAAGTATTTTACTTTTTGGAATATGCATTTTTTAAAGTTAAATTAATAAATATATATAAATAAAATTTTATTAAAAAAACCACTTTGTCTTCAGTCGCTTTTAGCATACAACCATGCCTATTATCAATGTAAACTACTGCAAGAAACAACAAATTATCGCGTAGCACGCTTTCTCTATTATCCATTTCTTTTTGGAAATCTTTGTCACTGTCCTTCAGTCACTGTCCTTCACTGTCCTTCCCGTCAAGTTCACATTTTATTGAATTTCAATCAAAAAGGAATTTGCCTGTGGTGATATTTTCACTTTGAAGACGAATAGTAAGATCGCGTGCCATATGCAATACATTTCTCAATCCCTCCCACATACCCCAAAAACATGGTCTGTGCGACCATGTTTTTTGGGAACATTAAGTTCTTCACATGGGAACATTAAGTTCTTCAGCAGCTTCTTTTTGCATAATTAGATTTTGAATTACTGGTCGAATCTAGAAGAACAGAAGAATTCATTAAATATATGTACAAAGTTATTAACTACTTAAATAAAGAGGATTATTAAAGAAATATTTACATAAACTATTCAAAAATTATGAAGTAGTATAAATGTCATTACCATTGAAATAATTGAATTTATATTATACCATTTAGAAAACTGGTTTATACAATTTGATTAAAACTAATAGTTATAGGTTATAACTTACCTTAATTAGCCTCTCAATCATATTGAACTGGCTAGACCAACGGGTAGCCTGATCTCAAATTGGAATGAGATGTGGAGTCTGGTCCCTGAAGAAGTCAATCCAATTTGAATTTCTTGCAGTTTTGACAAAATCTCTGGCATGGTTAATTAGATTTTTTATTGTGAGCCTTTTCAATGGATCATTTATGGCTAGCCGCATTATCCGCTTAAAGTGTGGAAAGCACAGATGTATAACAACCATGCTACTGGCAACTCCACTTGTTAAGACTGCTGCCGCATTATCCGCTTTAGAATAACCATTTTCTTCAAATTCATCAGTTTCTACTTAAAAATCATCTTCTACAATTTCCTCAATGGAATTGATGCAAAAAGCCGCGCACCAACTTTATATTCACCTAAAGATATTAAATATGATTTCACTAGTTGATTTAAAGTTTAGTTACAGTATATATAAGATTTTATCAAAACAGTTTAATTTTTAAATGATTTTATGGAAAATAATAACTTTAATCACATAATTTAAAATTTTTTTCATTAACAAAAAATATAGTGAATTTTAAAATATGTTACTCACTGCTGCGTTGTCAACACTGAGGCCTAAAATATTAGTTTTATTGATTCCAAACTTATCTAAACACTTCTCAATAATTTTTTTTGTGTATTTCGCTGTTTGTTTTCCTTCGTATCAAAGGTGCCAAGATTTATCACAGCAATTTCATTTCAAATTTCATGTTGAGTTGTTCGAGTATTGCGCATTTATACTGAGGTAGTGACGCATATGCCTTGATGTAGAACTGACTTTCAAATAAATTAGCATTTTCGATAATTTGTTTTTGATTTGTTTGTGATGCTTTTTGGCATGATTGATAATTTGAATTCTCATATTATCTCTATTCATTTTAAATCCAAAATGTAATGAAACTTTTCCGCAAAGCTTTTGAATAGGTTACCGATCAAACGCCTATAGATATTGTTTTTAGAATGATAAATGTTTATTAAAAAATGCCAAAAAAACATATAATTGTTTAGATTTTTTTTAACTAAAAAATAATTACTAACCAAAAAATAAATTGGACCTTGAATGAAAGACCTTCAACCAAAAGCAGCTGGTTTAAGGCTTCTAAAAACTCATCTTTTGCAATATACAAACTAATTTGCTGTGGTACAAAACACTTTAATATAGATTGCTGTGAAGTGCTGCCTTTGATGGCTGTATATTTTAGCATGTTTTCTAGATAAGTGTCGTATAAGGTTACTAATTCAAGCGGCATATAAGGTTGTATAAGGCTGTATATTTTATATGTATTTTGATGGCTGTATATTTTAGCATGTTTTCTAGATAAGTGTCGTATAAGGTTACTAATTTGCGGCACATGTATATTCTTTACCGCATAACTCGTTACTTTTTTCGGGACATTTGAAGCATACTACTTTGCATCCATTCAAAATTTTACTTGTACAATGAAAGTGTCTGTAGATCATATTTTATGCATAGTTATTGGCCATTACTGGTCAAGATTGTTTCACGCGAGTTAATAGCAAATATTATTGTAAAGAAAGAATGTTGTTATTGCAAGTTATTGTGAACATGTAAAGTATTATCTTTGTGTTTTATATGCTTCGCAAAATTAATTTTTTGTGAGACAAACCACGAAAACATAGTTAGGAAAGCTGTTACATTGACTAATTATGAATCAATGACATAACACTAAAATATCATTTTCTTTTTTCAATCAACACTAAAATATCATTTATTTCTAAATTTGATAAATATTAAAAAAAATTTAAACAACTAAGTTCTCAAACATATCTTTATCTACAGGTCTAGCCAGTAGCGATTTTGTGAGTAAAATGAGGAGGATGAATCTTTCATAAGTGATGCATGTCTTATAAAAAATATTTAAGATATTAATTTAAATGTTTTGATTTGGCTCTCGAAATTTGATGATGAGGAAATACTTAAATAAACAGTTAATCAGAAGTACTTTTTTAATGGGATAAAAAAATTAATTGTTTTAAAACTATAAATAAATAAACAAAAATATACATATAAAATAATCTTAATAATGCATATAAAATAATCTTAATTTGCGAATAAAATTTTATTAACTTAAGACATAAAACTTAAAATATGATTAAATTTTTTAACTTAAAACACTTTATTTCCTTTAATTAATTTTAACAAAAAAAAAAGTTTATTAAACAAACTGTTTCTTTCACAAAAAATCTATTAGATCACAATTGCCGTTAAATGCTTTTACTTACAACATTATATTTTGAATAAACGTCACATAAATGATATCAAATTAAAAATTAAATATTCTAAAAGATGAAAGTTGAACTGCTGAACACGTAGGCATATGGCCTTTTCGCACATAAAATGCGAGCTTGGTAATGCCTCTTAACAAAGCGTAACATTCGAACCTATACTCAATCTGAGTATTGGTTCAAAGTAGTAAGGAAGGAGATGAGCTTTTCAGTCAAATCCTCTTTTACAGTGTTTTTTGACTATCAGATATTTCTTAAGCATATTATTAACTATAAAAAAAAAGGAGTCCCAAAGTCCTAAAATTTTTATGGACTCCCAATAACTCGGGGCTAAAATAGGGGCTCCATGGGCTCTGACTCCGGAGTTCGCATCCCTGTCACAAATGTAATTCAGATGTATTGATAGCTTCTGAAGATCTACAGAAATTTAACTCATGTAAAAACATTTTAAAATTTTAATATGTTAAATGATTTTAGATTTCTTAATTAGTTTTTAGTAAAGTTTATTAAAATTAAAGTTTATTGTTGATTAGTTTTTAACAACATTCTAAACACTAGTAACATTTTTTATTTTAATTTTTACAGCACTGTAACAGTAGGTTACTGGGCTGGTGGTTTACAAAAATATCATATATTATATATATACATTTTTTTCTTATAGAAACTTG